CACACAGGCGTCCCAAATAATTGTAAAGAGTCCAACAGAAATCTGCCACAGTTCTTCAGGATAATGATGATAAACACCCACCTTTATCTCCCTTGACATGCTGCCAAGATCTAATTGGCAATTAACTTTGCAAAGCCACATGGAAACAGAGTCAACACAGAGCTGCAGTCTTGAAACCGGCCAGCACAAACAACAGTTGCTTCCTGCAAAGGGCTCACATGCCTTTGCTCCTCCTTTATGTCTTATGGGAGGGGCCAATCATCTCCAAGCCTTACTCCCGAGTCGTCCCTTTTGTTTTAACTGTTCTTGCCTTCTGGCAGCTCTGCACATGCGCGGACTGGGAACAGGCTCCCCCTCTTCCTCTGCCTCATTGATGTCTGACTCTGGAGGCTCCGGAGTCCGCACATAACTGCCAGATGGCCCTGGCCCCATCTCTGCCTCTGATGCAGAGCCCTCATCCGAGCCTTCCCCAGACTCTAGGACTGGCCCATGTTCCTCCCCAGCCTCCTCACTGTCCGTCTCTGGTGCCAGCTCTGCAGGCCACTCGGACCACAACAATCTCCAGGCTGAACTACTATATATTGCTTTATATGGATTTTCCCTTGAAACATATCCAACATCTTCAGGCCATGCAGAAGCCAAAAGCATGGTTTGTCAGGGAGGGAGGGAGGGAGGGAGGGAAGAGGGAGTCAACCTATTCTCCAAGGCACCTAAAGGCAGGATAAGTGTGATGGAGGGGACCTCGATGGACCGTAACCTTATCTCTTTTACAATCTACTAGAACAAATGAGCCTCACGAGCAGTTTACACTAAACTGTTTTTATTTACATAAAATAAAACAAGGTCTATTCAAAAAGAATATTATATGTCATTCTCTTTCTTAAGTGTCCTGTCAGCTCTCTGGTGCAATCACTCTATGCGATTGGAGTTCGGGCTTTTCTTCCTCAGAAGGAAGAGACTTTAATGACTTCAGCTCTGCCTCTGATCCCGAAGAGAAATTCTGCTGGCAAGCATCTCCTTTTATACTGTCACAGTGGCAGTTAGGGGAGGGCATAGAAAAGCCCGGGAGATTCAAAGCCAGGAGCTGCTTTCTGATTGGCTTATTTAATTGTTTAAGCCAAAAGCCATTAATAGGCACAGCAACTGTGAAGGAATTTTCTCTCACAATAAGAAACAGTGGATGGAAACTAATCAAGAAAAAAGCCAACCCTAGAACTGAGGAGAACTTTCCTGACAGTTAGAACAATTCATCAGTGGAAAGACTTGTCTCCAGAAGTTGTGGGGGCTCCAACACCGGAGATTTTTAAGAAGAGTTTGGACAACCATTTGTCTGAAATGGTATAGGGTTTCCTGCTTGAGCAGGCGGTTGGACTAGAAGACTTCCAAGGTCCCTTCCAACTCTGTTATTGTGTTACTCCCATGTTTCTGGAGCTTCAAGCTGATGGCTTCATCAGTATACAATTCAGAGGGTTATTACCTGTGTGTAAAGCCCTTAATGACTTGGGATCTCTATGTCTTAATTGACTATCTTGCACCCCTCTGTTTCCTCATGCAAATTTGATCACAAGAGAGAAATACAGTACTCAAATTGTTCCTTCCCACTGTCTGCATTTCATGAGAATAGCATTTTTTTCAAGAGCAGATCCTAACTAAGAAAATATTTCCCTGCTGAAGGTAGATAGATTCTAGTACTTGGACATTCTGAATTCTGTTCTGTGTTTTGTTCTGATTTGATAATTGAGGAGAGTTTAATATTAAGATCTCTTTTTTCAATAACATCACTGAATTGAGGATATGTACGTTTCTGCTTAAAGTGTGAAATATCCAGATGTGTATGTGATTGGATGCTGCATAAATATCTAAATAAGTTTAAGAAATGCCTTTATACACCATTCAGCTTAGATTGCATTCAGAGTTTGGAAGTGGATGTTATTGAAGGAACTGCCAATAGATTTCACATTCTGCTGACACTTCCTTCGGTGTAATACAGAGGTTTCAGCTTGATTGCTTGCAATTGTCATTTATTTATTTAGAAAATTTATATGGCCAGCTATCTTACATGTAATAATCCTAGGCAGTTTACAGCATTTCAAAAGAAAAAATCAGAATAAATATAACCTACAAAACCCCACAAGACTATCACATATTCCACCGCAGTGCCACAACATCTCGCCAACTCCACATTTACTTTTGCTGGGCTCACTTCCATCCTAGCCCACTGTCTGGGTGAATAGCCAAGTTTTCACAGCCTCTCTGGAAGGCTAATAGGGTGGAGATCTTCCCCCCAAAAATTGGGGGGGGTATACTGTTTCAAAGGATTAAGACCACCACAGAAAAAACTCATTTTTGAGGTCCTACAGGATGGCAGTCTTTAACTGAAATGACCTGCAATGCACCCATTCTATTTGAACTGGCGGGACAAACATAGAACATAGAATAATAGAGTTGGAAGAGTCCTCCAAGGTCTTTTAGTCCAACTTCCTGCTTGATCAGGAGACCAGATACCATTTCAGAGACATGGTTGTCCAGTCTCGTTTTGAAAGCCTCCAGTGATGGAACATCCACAACTTCTGAAGGTAAGCTATTTCATTGGTTGATTGCTCTCACTGTTAGGAAATTTCTCCTTAATTCTAGGTTGCTTCTCTCCTTAGTTTCAAACATTTGTTTCTTGTCTTGCCTTTTGGTGCTTTGGAAAATAGTTTGTCTCACACACACACACACACACAGTCTCGTCTTTGTAGGAGCTCCTCAATATTGTAACCTTCAAGGAGAGGTGATACCACAAATAACCCATCTCCTTCAGTTTCTCACACTAATATGAATATATGACACCCATAAGTATTATATAGTAACTACAGTCCTTGCAGTCCTCTTGATCCAAGAGACTTAGAGTGATAACTGTTTGGGGAATAGCCAAGCCTCACCTTTAAGTAGTCTGTCATTATGGCTATACAAGTGAGTTGGTCACACTATGAGCTTCATGAATGATTAAGATTTAAACTTCTTTCCCTGGGTCATGTTCCTCCCTCAATGTGCTTCAATGCAGTATTTCTACAAGAGATGGTTTTGCTAAGTTTGCCTGAGTAGGAATGAGTCTACATGTCCAGATGCTCCTGCTGTCATCCCATGCTGAAACACACAGGAAACCAACCAGTTCTAGATGTGAGCATCTCTACAGTGCATCTTATGCTAAACATTCACAGCAAGTGTACTTCGTACTGCTGACCATATTCCTCTAGCATGGATCTTTTAAAAAGATGCAACTGGTGTTGATTTCTGAATCCCAGATGACATCACCCTCTTCACACAAGGCTACTGCCAATTGATGTGCTGATTGTTGCCAATTGGTGTGCTTTTTTTTTTTTTAAGTAATCTGTGCTGTTTTATTTTTTTAATGTAATCTCTTCTGGCCTTACTATCAGTAGCAATAGCAATAGTACTTCAGTCTTATATACCACTTTACAGTGCTTTTACAATCCTCTTTAAGTGGTTTACAGAGTCAGCGTATTGCCTCCAACAATTTGAGTCCTCATTTTACCCACCTCGGAATAATGTAAGGCTGAGTCAACCTTGAACCTGGTGAGATTTGAACTGCCAAACTGCAGGCAGCAGGCAGTCAGCAGAAGTAGCCTGCAGTGCTGCACTCTAACTCCATGATGGCGAACCTATGGCCCTCTCTGTGGGCATGCATGCCATCACCAGCTGCTGTTCTGATTTCCGGTGTGCATGTGCGCCGGTCGGCTGGACTTTGCACACACTGAGTGCTGGAAATCCAAAGACCAGCTGGCAGGTGTACATGCGTGCACCGGCCAGCTGGTCTTCAGTTTTCTGGTTTCCAGTGCTTGGTGCTGAAAGGTTCACCATTACTGCTCTAACCACTGTGCCACTGTGACTCACCATAGCATGATCAATAGGGTTATTTGGTCAAAATGTCTATGGAGATTCTCAATTATCTAGGTCATGGTTGTCCCAAAGGTGTTTTTTCAACTGGACAACTGGACTTTCTGGTTTTTCTTTGAAGAGCTGAAGAAGCTTCTTGGATGAGAAGCAAAACATCTTCAAAGAAAAACCAGAAAGTCCAGTTGCCTCTTGAAAAAGCACCTTTGGGTTATTTGGTCTACTTATCAACTGCTCATCCAAGATTTTTAAAAAAATATATGGTCCAGTTTCCCACATAGGCAAAACAAAAATGACAGTGAGAAGAATGATCAGGATAGTAAAGGGGCATCTAGGACCACTGTGGAAGAGCCCATAAGATCCACCAATGCAGAACATGTCAAGGCAAGATGACTCCTCCACTTGCACCAATGTGCCCCACCTTGTCTGCATGAAGCTACGTTAGGCTGCAGTAAAACAATAAATACCTTCAAAGTAGAAGAGCATCTAAACCAATTCTCAGACTGCTTTAACTTCTGGCTGACCTTGAGATGAGAGAGACCAAGAAGAAATTCCAGGGCTGTAGGCTAGACAATAGGTTTTTCAAAAAAAAATCACAAAAGAAGGCAGTGACAAATAATTTCTTGGAGTTTGCCAAGAATATGAAGTCTCTAAAGGTTGAGTCTCAGTCAAAGGATACTTTACATTTTTACTTCTAGAACAACCCATGCTTAGCTCAACATGAATTGAGACTGGGACTAATTTATTGCTCTATCCATAGATCAGAGGTCTCCAATCTTGATAACTTTAAGGCTGGCTGAGGAATTCTGAGAGTTGAAGTCCACAAGCCTTAAAGTTGCCAAGGTTGGAGACCCCTGCCATAGATTATCAAGTTCACCATCCTAGAAGAAGCCCTAACCTACTGGGATTACAAGCTAGCCCAGGGTTGGGCAACGATGACCCTTCTATGATTTGTGGACTTCAGTTCCCAGAATTCCTGAGCCAGCCATGTTGGCTCAGGAATTCTGAGAGTTGAAATCCACAAGTCATAAAGGAGCCATTGTTACCCATCTCTGAGCTAGTCCTTTGTGACTGAGCACCATACGAAAGAGAATGGATACACACCTTTCCTGTTTTGAAGTTTCAGAAACAATCACACAACTGGTTCAACTTTTTCTGAAGTCTTTTCATCTATGTCAACTCTGAGCAGAAAATGAAGCTGTGAATCATTCCTCCAAATATGGCCAACTAAGCTCTTTAACCTAAACTTTACTTGTGTTCTAGGTGTGGTATACAAAACATCTTAAATTGCAACACCAAACTTCTGAGAAATTTGTGAGAATGTTTTGATCGTGATGAACCTTTCCCCTGCCATGCCACCCCACTTTTGAGAGGCCAGGACACCCAGGCATCAGACATCGTCATTGATTTTGTGGAACAATTAGGGTAGGGCTTTCTGTTTTCTTTTCTTCTTTTGCGGTAGCCCTACCCATTTCGAGACTAGATGTGCCAGAGTCTCAGTTGAAGAAAGAAAGAAAGAAAGAAAGAAAGAAAGAAAGAAAGAAAGAAAGAAAGAAAGAAAGAAAGAAAGAAAGAAAGAAAGAAAGAAAGAAGAAAGAGAAAGAGAGATATAGAAAGAAAGAGAGATAGATATAGAAAGAAAAAAGAAAGAAAAAAGAAAGAGCGAGAAAGAAAGAAAAAGAAGGAAAGGAGAAAGAAAGAAAGAAAGAGAAAGATAAATAGAAAGAAAGAAAGAAAGAAAAAGAAAGATATAGAAAGAAAGATAGATATAGAAAGAAAGAAAGAGTGAGAAAACAAGAAAGAAAAGAAAGAAAAAGAAGAAAAGAAAGAAAGAAAGAAAGAAAGAGAAAGAGATAGATAGATGATGGATGGATGGATGGATGGATAGATAGATAGAAAGAAAGGTAGGTAGGTAGGTAGGTAGGTAGGTAGGTAGGTAGGTAGATAGAGAGATAGAGAGATAGAGAGATAGAGAAAGAAAAAAAGAAAGAAAGAGAAAGAAAGAAAGAAAGAGAAAGAGAGATATAGAAAGAAAGAGAGATAGATATAGAAAGAAAAAAGAAATAAAAAAGAAAGAGTGAGAAAGAAAGAAAAAGAAGGAAAGGAGAAAGAAAGAAAGAAAGAGAAAGATAGAAAGAAAGAAAGAGAAAGAAAGATATAGAAAGAAAGATAGATATAGAAAGAAAGAGTAAGAAAACAAGAAAGAAAAGAAAGAAAAAGAAGAAAAGAAAGAAAGAA